GTCCGTGGTTCGATTCCCGGTGAAGGCGTTGTTAATTTGTCCTCTTTCCTGCTTCTAAAAGAATACCTAATGTCTCTACGCAATAATTTTAAGCACTGTATCCTTTTAAAATAATTGCTCATTTTTAGAGTCTTATTAAAATTTGAATGAATTTTGTAAATCGTTCTTTTTTTCTGGAACATTCACATCATAATTTTGACAAGTCAGGGAAGGATATCCAAAAGTTTTAAGCACGAGATCACAATTATAAAAAATTTATATACCCATTAATTATTACGAATAATCACAAAACTTAAAATTTTACACCGTGCTAATTTTTACATTTATTAGTAATATTTTATCATCATTTGTAATGGCATTATTGAAATTACGGTTTTTACTTTTATTACACATTTTACAAATTTCGTATTTTACAAAAATTAGAAGACCCCACAGCTTTTTCGTAGCACACACATATCCAGCTATTTGGGCATATCCACTTTAACAAACTCGTGCATTAAATGTTCATGAGTGGTTAGTGGTGAAGTCATTGTAGATTTCCTTTTACCGTTCTCTTTGTGCGGAAAGATACCATCCCCAACTGTGGAAGATTTCCTCTTTCGAGAAACCAATATGGCGGAACGAGAATATTTTTTAAATAAGTAAATGAACTGAAAGAGAAAACAACGATTTCCGCTCATATAAATTGCCATTTCCTCATCTGCTATAGAGCAGCCGAGCTGTCATAACCAGCACGACTTCTCCTCGACAAATATCCCGTCACGACTTTTGCAATCGAAGACATCATCCACGACCATGAACGATCACCTCTCGTCACCAGGGGTTAAGGAACGCGGCCATCCGAGGCCACCGACTGGTACACTGACTTTTAATCGTGCTAAGGTCAACCTCCTTTAAGATACTGCCTCATAAATGTCTCCTTGTCGAAGAAAGTGGAAGAAGGTAGCGTGACCCTCGTGCGTTAACTCGCCTTGCTCTGTTTCCACTCTTCAGACGCTTGGAAACAGCGGCAGCTACGATTAATTCCAAAATCGCCGTGTCATTTTGTTTCATTTCGTTTCTAATCTCGTCAAGCTGGAACCCCGAAGGCTCCAAAAGGTTATCGGTAATTGCATTATTTTTGTCTGATTACGGCAACACGTGGTGTTGTCGGAGACTTGTTGCATCAACCGAACTTGCATTAACTACAATTTTTTGCTTTTAATTAAGGAGTGCTTGTGACGGATACATTGGCTCCTGTTTTTCAAATGACTGCGGTTTGTGTATCTCGCTTCTTTTATCTCCCTATACAAAGAACCGTACCTAATTTTATGATATGTAAGATTTAGTTAGCTAATATGTTATTAGCCCAAAACGATATTAATTTCGTTTTGGCATTTTTCTTTGGTTCATTATAAACGGCGAATCACTTTTTAAATAGTTACCACCAAATAGTACAACCTTGTATTATATTTAAAGAAATTAAATAATGAAGAATCTGCATAAATGTATGTATGTTTCTGTCACTGTGATAAAACAACGGTACCTAGAGCCATCCAATTTTGAATAACGTACGTCTCTACCCAAATTTGGGCATTTGGATGCCCAAAATTGGAATTTGTTTTAATATCTATTTTACATTTTGTAAACCTTTAATGAATTTCTGATTAACAAACTCAACGATTTCAAAGCGAGAAATGGCAAGACTGTACAGAAAAAAAAAAACAAAAAAATTATCTCCAGCGCGCGAGACTGTATATCGGAAATTCTAAATTTATGCTCTTTTACATATTTTGCTATATTGCTGTTGAATTGAATTTTATGGTTTAAGGGGGCTCATACACCTTAAACCCCTTATGATCTTCGAATATATGATTGTTGCAAGAATTGGTATATTTTATTTATTTTAAAAGCAATAACTTCCATTTTTTACAGCTGACTACACATTATAGCTTCTTTGGAAACTAGTAACCAGAAAGTTTGTGTTGCCACAAATAGTTTTGTAATTTAATCCGCTTTGTGAAAGAATTTTCGTCATATTTCCACATTGCGCGCATATTTTAAAAACGGCTAATGGTACATACTTGAAATTGGATGAAAATTTTTATATGGGAACTATTTTTTAACTGAACCCAAAATCTAATGAGTATTTTAATATTTAAAAAAGTTATGCACAAAAACATTAGAGATTTTTTAATTTAATAAAATACATTTTATAAACTCAACTCTAAATAAAATAAACATTTAACATGAAATTATTATAATTTTTGGTTCACAGTAGTATCCAAATATTGTAAAAGCTATGTATTAAATATGGAATTAAATTACGAAACAGAAGGGTTTAAACTGTGCGCGCAAGGTGGAAACATGACGAAATATTTTGTCACAAAGCGGATTAAATTTTAATAATATTTGTGGCAGCACAGACTTTCTGGTTACTATTTCAGAGAGCAGCTATATTATGCAGTCAGCTGTAAAAAGTTGGAAGTAATTGCTTTTAAAATAAATAAGTTATCCCAATTCTTGCAATAGTCACATATTCGAGGATCGTATGGGTTTTAAGGTGTACGAGTCCCTTTAAGTGCGAAGAACATGGTGTTTAATAAATAAAGGTAACACACAAAAGTTTAAAAAAAGCCTCTTTGCCCGTAATATAAAATCTGAAAGCTTTCATATTATTTTCTTTTCATGTTGATTCTTTTCTGTAATTTCTGCCTTTCTCTCTGCCACCACCAGCGCCGAAGTCGGTATATTAACTAACAACACTGGCTGTCGTGCCTAAAGCCTGAGCTTGGATTCCCGAGAAGGTATGGATGTTCTAAGTATATAGCGTGTCTACTCAATGGACGCACTTAAAATACTGAAGAGCCGGAAAAGTAGCTTGGTGACTGGAGAAGAGGAGTGAGAGACCCTGGGACCACCCCTCGGGGTGTTCTTTCTCAAAATAGGGATGGAAGCTTAACAGTAAGAAAAGTTCAACAGTACCTCACTCACCTGTGGTATTACAGAGGCCTAGCTTCTAACTATATCTGTTCGAGACATAGTTAGAAAGTAATAATTAGAACCTTTCTTTTTTCAATCAGTTCACTATAAACAGTTCTATCACTTTTCAAATTGTTGCCAAAAAATTAAATTATGAAAAACCTGCATGTAGGTATGCATGTTCCTCGCATTGTGAAAAAAAATGACAGTACACAGTGGCATCCAATTCCGAATAACATAGTCCTCCACCCGAACATGTGCACCTGGAAGCCCGAATTTTGAGTTTCGAATTTGTTTTATTATTCATTTAATATTTTGTAAGACTTTGATCAATTTTCGGGTTAACAAACTTGAACGACTTTGGAAGCAAGAAGTGGCAACACTGTGCGGAATAAAACTTTTTCATCACCAGTACACCAGACTGTGCATCGGAAATTCTAAAGATATACTGTTTTTAAATAATCTGTGATTTTGCTGTAAAATTGAATTTTATGTGGCTTAAGTGCGAAGAATGTGATATTTAATAAATAAGGTTAAAACATAGAAAGTTAATAATTAAGGGACAAAAAAAATGTGTTAACCACTTTATTAAGAAAATGGAATACTGATACAATGAACTAGGACGACTGAAAAAAATATGTCTATGTCAACACTTACCAATGTATCGGGAATTCTAAACATATGCTGCTATCTAGCTTTTAAAAATTTTACGATTTTTTATGTACTGTATGGGGCGTAAGTGCGAAAAAAAAAAACGATGTACATAAAGGTATAAACCTAAAAAGACAAAAAAAAAAAAAAAAGAAATCGGGTAGCAGGAATGAGATCAACAGAAGACTAGACTAGCAGTTCAGCTAGTGTGTAAAAAAACTTAGCAAACGGTTTTGGGGGACCGTTAAAATCAGAAAGCTTTCGATTTTTTAAAACATTTTGTTTTGCTCGTTATGCGAATCACTCGTTATGGGAGATTTCCAAATTTCCAAAGGGCCTACCACCGGCCGAGCGGTAAAATTCGCTGAACACTAGTATTAGTAGTTCGGTCACAGGTTGGAATCCCGCGAACGGACTGCCTGCATGGGCGTTTTCGTGGGCTTTCCTATCTGTAAAGTGTAGAAGAGCCAGTTTCCATTTGAAAGTCCTCCACGAAGGCATCCCTTCCTTTAGACAGATAGCCTTCGAGGATTTGTCATACTCACAATCAATCAATCCATCAACCAAATTTCCGAAGTCTTTGCTGCCCACTTCAAGTTACTCTCCGCTATCTAAATTCCGCCTCCCAGTCTGACTGCACCATTTGCACTAGCACTGACCCTGGCCCTGTTTTTTTTTTTTTTTTTTTTTTTTTTTTTTTTTTGTGCCTAATTTGAAATGATCGACTATAATCGAAATTAAGATCTTTAGATGTTTGAGGACATAATCCCTTACGTTTGGACATTTTTCTGTCACCTGAAAATTTTTATTATCTGTTTCGGACTTACATAACGACTTTACTTGAGTTTAAAAAATATTCTGCAATATTTTATTAACCGAATTTTTTATCTTATCATATGATATATTTTCCTACACAAACGGACTTGACTTCGGTCATTCGATAACCATATCCTAATAATAACATTAACCGCAATCCGATTAAGTGGCAACTACCGTACTTCAGGCTTCATTAAACTTAGTTTTTTTATTTCCTTCCAATAGAAAGGGAGAACTGGAAAGTGCTAGCTAAATAAATTAGGAATAAAATAGTCCAGTATTCTCAGTATTTTACTGCTAATAATAGCAGTAAAATACTGAGAATATAAATTAAAGTGCTTCATTTTAGATTGATTTAATAATTAACGAAGCTAGCAGAACATAATCTTGCTTCAAAGGAAGACAAACCCTGCAGTCCAGAAATGGATAAGCCTGAAGAATAGAGCGTAGAGTTTCACAGAAAAAGAAGTTTCCTTTTCCTCATTAAATGTCTCAAATGATCACAATAGTTCGCCGAAGGCGATTTCTAAGAATAACACTCAAGAAACAGCGCAAATAAAGACGTAACTTACCATTTAAGGACCTTTTATCTTCTTCTCCGCAGTGGAAATCTGTAAAATAAATATATGGATATATATTAATGAAAAGCCGTTTTGAAGATTTCAAAAAACAGCACTTAGATGTGTTTATGATACAGATAATTTATATACCACAGAAAATAAGTATAAAGGATATTATTTATTTATTTATTTATTTTTGATTATGGCTTCGTACACGATGGTGTTCGCCAAAGGAGGGAATGCTCCGTGGAATATGTTTCAAGGAAATTGGCTCGTATCCACATTACACATGGAGAAAACACAATAACGATAAAATTTGAAAAAAAAAATTTTTTTTATTATTAAGGTTATAAGTAGAAAAAATGCAAACATTTTCGTTTAACTTCTCTGGATTATTTGTCTGCAACAAAGGGTTAACTTTAGAAAGCCAGCGTATATATAAACATTACCCAATGTAACAGTAACCGTGAAGAATATGCAGTTCCTGAATATGATTGGTCTGTAAATGTAAATTTGCTTTAAAGTATATATAATTTAATTTTTATTTAATTACTTGTGTTATTGCTGTTTGTGTTTCAGATATATATACAACTCCCAGAAATATTAATGCAGATCCTCAACCGCAACATTTTTCGGAAAATAATTTAAGTCCCAGGTTGTGAAATTTATCCGAGTTTCCATGACTTATTCCTCAACTGCCCCGAGGATTTTACCTTTTTCTCCAAAGATAATATTGCCGCTCTAGTAATGCTTAATTTATTCAGCCCTTTTTCTCATGGAAACCCTGATTTCTCAAGGAGCTCTGGCGAACTGAAATTGAGAAAAGCTTGTGTAGTTGTAAAATATTCAAAATTTAATTCTAACGATTGAAGGTATAAGGTATTTCTCCCGCCTTCTTAGCGAGCCTTCGTAGTGTAGTGGTCTGCACACTCAGCGCGTAATTGAGAGGTCCGCGGTTCGATTCCCGACGAAGGCGTTGCTAATTTTTTATCTCTCCGGACTCGAAATAACCTAATGTCTCTACAAAGGTATAAAAAGATGATAATCTGTCCTTAGTAAAATAACAAATAACAAAACAACAACAAACAAAAAAAAAAAAAAAAGTCCGAAAGGCTTCAGATCTTAACATTCGCCCAAAAAGGTATGTTAATTTTTTTCCCTCTCGCTGATTTCTCAGTCTACCAGTCTGCTCTCACTTCTACTAACTCATTTTTTTTGTCTGTTTAGCTTTATTTCTAAGCATCATTTTCTTCGCACTTATGTCATATACAATTCAACAGTAAAATTGAAAAGCATTTAAAATCGCATAGCAGCATACGTTTAGAATTACCGATGAAGTGATGTTAACATATGCTTTTGTGTGTATTTCAGTGTGTTTTGAGTTTATCATATAATTGTTCAGTTTTCTTATTAAGATGGCTTTATAAACCTTTCTTTGTTTTTTTAATCAACATTTGTGTTCACTTAAACCACAAAACTTAGACCACAAAAAATTCTAATTAACAGCAAAATCACAAAAAATTCAAAAATAACATGTCTTTTGAATTTCCGATAGACAGTCTCGCCGGAGATATTATATTCCGTAGAGCGTTGCCACTGAACGCTTTCAAATCATTTATTAATCAAAAATTCGTTAAAAGTTTACAAAATATGAAATAAACAAATTTCATATTCGAGCTTTCACAAGCGCATGTTCGGGTGGAGGTGTGTGTGTATTGAGAATACGGCAAAGCACACTAGGACTATCTGCCTAAGGGAAAGGGATGCCTTCGTGGAGGACTTTCTAAGGGAAACTGGCTCGTATACACCTTACACATGGGGAAAACCACGAAAGCGCCCATGCAGCCAGCCCGTTAGCGGGAATCGAACCTCGAACCGAACTACCAGTGTTCAGCGATTTTACCCCTCGGCTGCTGGTGGGCTCGTTCGGGTGGAGGACTACATTATTCAAAATTGGATGTCTCTAGGTACCACTGTTTATTTACAGTGGGAGAAACATACATGCATTCATGCAAATTCTTCTTTATTTAATTTCTTTAAACAAAACACAGGGCGATAATGTTTGGTGGCAACAATTTGAAAAGTTGTACAACACATTCAAATGTTTCGACACAAAATGCCGTCTCCAGACTGATATCCCATTCAGGACTAATTCCCCTTTGTCAAAATTTTAGAACTTACGTTTAAAGTCTTTTTTAATATGATGATAAAATATGATGCGGGAATAATTTTTAAAAACAGAGGCTTTCATACATAAATATTGGAAAAAAGCAGAAAACCTATACATTCTTTTAAACGTGACATCCAAAGTAAAATAAAAATAGGCCTCTTGAGAGTATCATGTCAAGAAAAGTGACGACAATGTTACTTTAGGAAATGTTAAAATCACGTTACAAGACATGAATAGGGTCTTCTGAATTCGTCATGAAAAAATTTGTGACACGAAAGGATTCTTTTCAGATCCAGCACTAAGAAATGCGAAGCGGAAGAGATTCTTAAGGAAGTTCTTAAGACGTTTAAGGAGGGCTTAATATAATCCAGGTATAAAAAAAACGGGAAAATGGAATAAACTTTCCGCAGCTGAGATTTACCACTAAGCCCTATTATAAGCTGTTCAATATTTTCAATATGTACTTAAAAAACCCTTGCAAAAGCTCACTGAATGATATTGAAAAAAAATGTGATGCAGAATAAATGAATTAAAAAACTGCAAGATTTTTTTCCCAAACGAAAAAATCTAAATACAAAAATTTGAATAGTATCCTGAAGCAGGATAAGATTCTGCCTTATTCTGCTTTATTATCGCAACTCTTACATATCATTTAATAATAATGTTACGAATTTTGTACACAGATAGGTCATTTTATTGCAATTATACGTGAAACTGTTGCAATTTTCTGAGTAATGTAACATGAAAAATTGACAGAGAGAGAATCTATGCCGGAAAAGTAAGAACTCAAGGGCAGGTCCTTTTAACATTGTATAAATGGGTATATCTGTAATTTGGCGAGATATCACCAAGCTGGCAACGGCTTTGAAAACTTATTTTGTCGCCAAATATGGCGAGAAACTGTCAATGTCTGTAAAATTAAAATTGGCGAAATTTTGGTCCGGTCCCTGTATCACCTTAACAGGTACTGTAATTGTATAAATGCAATTGATCACTATTTATCTGTAACCGTAATTCGACCCTCATATTGCCTTCCAGGAATTTCGAGAAGGAGAAACTACTAGAAATATCTCGGCGGCCGGGCGAATACTATATGAGGCCGGTGAGAGCATTCGCTCTCAATTGTTGTTGTTGCGAGTTCTGAGTTCAGAGTACTGAGATATCTTCGGGTTAGCTTTCTCTTTAGATGCCCTTTGCATTGCGTTGTGTTTAACGTTCTTGGTAGTTTTAAATGTAAATACTGATTGTACTCTCTGGTATTGTGAACATCTGTGAGAATACTTCGGTGGAAAATTCCAGTACTCTGAAATGTTTTTTTTTTTTTTTTTTTTTTTTGATAAAATAAATCTTATCAACCTATCACCAGACCTGCGTGCTTTCATCTATTGCAAACCTGTACTCAAGCAACAATAACTTATAAGAAGAAATTAAAGTGTTAGGTTACTAAGAACAGAGGCAGTAACTCCCAGGAGTAACTGCCTCTGTTCTTCTCCTAGGTCTTAGGGAGAAAAAATAATTCTCTACTGACCTTAAAAAGAAGACCGGACATTTCAGAATGGTGAAGGGCCACTAGTTGTTCCAAACTAACTTTACTGACTGTACCAGCATAGGGAATTCTTTAATGTGTATATCTTTAATGTCCCTAAAACTATAAACACCGCGTAAGTTTGGGGAGGGGTCAACTAAGTTTACTAACTATACCAACAGTGGGAAATTCTTTAATGTCCCTAAAACTATAAGCACCGAGTAAGTTGGGGGGGCAAACTAAATTTACTGACTGTACAACAATGCGATATTCTTTAAAGTCCATATCTTTAATGTTTCTAAAACTATAAGCACCGAGTAACTTTGGAGGGCAAACTAAATTTACTGACTGTACCACCAATGGGAAATGCTTTAAAATTCATATCTTTAATGTCTCTAAAACTATAAGCACCGAGTAAATTAGAGGGGCCAACTAAATTTGCTGACTGTACCAACATGGGAAATTATTTAATGTCTGTAAAAGTATATGCAACAATTAAATTTGGGGGGCTACGTTACTCGCGTCCGTAACATTTCTTAAGCTACACGTGCTCCCTGGTTGGTGCTAAATGAGTAACAACTTTTCAGCTGAGATCATATTCTGATTCTTATTCATTCGAATTGCAGTGTTTACGAGATGTATGCAGGATTCGCTGCACATTTTGCAGTGGAATGCAAGTGGACTTACTCAGTCTAAAAGAGCAGAGATTTTTGAAGATTTTAAATCTTAAGAAAAAGTTGATATTTTTACCATTATGGAAGCAAACAGGGGTAAGGCGGAAATGGAGAGTTTTTCCTTCCCTGCCTATAACATTTATGTTTTGAAGAAAGGAAGAAAAGTCGCTAGCGGTATTGTGGTGTCAAGTACACCATCACTTCCAGCTTTGAAATGGCAAAACCCAGAGGTCAGACAGATGATAAGATCGTTAATTGCTAAGCTAAATTGCTGGTTAAATAACTGCCATTTTAAAATATTTTCTGTTCATAATCCACCTATGAGCAATCCATAACTTGATTTAATTAACATAAACAAAAGGATTATTGCAATTTGTGACTTCAATTCTCATCACCAAAATTGTGATATAGTGATAGAAAACTGGAAGAAGATATTGCTGAAGACTTCTCGTGCTCCAATAATTTGGAGCTTGTATTTGATAAACGAGATCATTCGATGTTCCTACATTATAGCGGAGCCTTTAGTAACTCAGATCTGCTGTTGGTTTCCCCTAATATAAGGAACATTACTTAAGGGAACTCATACACCTTAAAACCCATAAGATCTTCGAATATGATATGTGACTGTTGTAAGAATTGGGATTACTTATTTAGTATAAAAGCAGTTACTTCCAACCAGTTA